ATACCAGTATTGGTCTGAATAAGTCTAAAACTAATTACTATTTTAGTAGTAGTTTTAAACTACCATTAATGCAGTCATTGATTGACTGTTACTAATGATTGACAACAAAATAAAGTTTATTTAAATATAATTTTATTTGCATATTATTTAATAGTAACAAGTTATCTGTTGGCATTTATTTGCAAATATAATTAGTGTCAGAGAATCGGATTTAAAATTAGTTAATAGTATATAAACTTTATACTAGTAATCAAGTCGTGTATATATAAGTGTATGGGATGTATAGCCAGGTATTTGAGTAGTCATACAATTATGGAGATAAAGAGCGGATGCAAATCAAGTTTTACTTGTGGTGATCATCCAAAAGCGGATATACGAGGGACAGGGAGTTTGAGATCAAGTTTTGCAACTCGTGTTTATAATAATAAGATAGATATACTTGATATTAGTGTTTAGCGTACGTTTAGTTTCCTATTATTTCTCATTCATTACATTATTTTATACGAGGGACAGGGAGTTTGAGATCAAGTTTTGCAACTCGTGTTTATAATAATAAGATAGATATACTTGATATTAGTGTTTAGCGTACGTTTAGTTTCCTATTATTTCTCATTCATTACATTATTATATATTTTGATTTTTGTGAGATTAATAGCAAACATAAGATTTCAAAAAATATTTTCATAACCGATAGTAAACTGATCATGATCACTCATTACCATGAGTTCACATAATCAGCGCAAATATTTAGCGTATTTTCGCCACAAATTATCTATAAGTCTGTGTCCGACAGATACGCGACTCGATGGACACCAGCACCCGGTGATTGGCCATCAGCACCACCACCACCATCATCAGCACCCGGGTCGCCGGCACCACCACTCGGACATCAATGACCAGCATATCGTGCACTTGCAGATGAGGGACACCCTATCGGCGGCCGATGTGCGCCGGACTATACGTGGTCTCTGGAACCTGGACTGCGCCTCCTTTTTCGCCTGTTTTTTCTGTTGCATTAATATGTATACAATCAGCCGGTTCTCGGTTCTCACCTATTTCTTCAAAGGTATGATATCCCTATCCATATGCCTGTGCTCTCTCTCTCTCTCTCTCTCTCTCTCTCTCTCTCCCATAAGATATACTGTAATGTTAAGAGATATACACTATTTTCTATCACAGACTCCTACCTACTTTTTAACAGTCTCTCTCTCTCTCTAAAATTTATTTTTATTAACACTATTCATGAAAATGACTTTTTGTGTGATTTTTAATTATTATTTTTCTCTCTCACATAATAAGTATACGTTTCCGACCTTTTGATGAATGAATAGCGAGTTTTCAAATCAAATATATTAAGGTTAAGGAAGTCCTGATTCACTCCATTGTAAAATCGGTTTTTGTGTTTGCATTTCATAACCCAAACCCTATTGATTAGACAATTATTACATTCAGACAATGTTTTTGTGTGTTTGGATTGAAGACAATTAAATTGTGTTTTGATTTTGATTTCTCATTTCACTATTGAATAGAGAGATCTGTCTGTAGTTTTCATGAAAACATAAATTAAACCCAAAATATAATTATAATAGAAATTATAAATTAAATATTTGTCTGACAATCAAAATGTTTGCCTAAAAATTATTTTTGCGAAACTTTTTATTGGAGTTTGTTTTTGCAGTATTTTGATTGATTAATACAAATCACAGGCTTTAGGGGAAAGGTAGCAAAACTTTTGTGTGTATTTTGATTGTAAAAATATTATGACTTCATGTGTTACTCATAATTATAAATAATTATTTTCTCACAATTAAATAACAGTTAATATATTTAAAAGTAGTAATAAATATCGTATTGTAAAATATCATACATGGAAATAAATAATTTAAAAATATTTCTACTATTTATAACACAATTTATTATACTTTTATGCTTTAAGTTATGTTTTAAGACTTATTATATTCACTTCACTTGAGTCTCGCATATCGTGATAAGTCATCGCAAAAAATATCTCTGACTTTAATCGCACTTTAAACTCACTTTTATATCTATCTCTCATTATATATCCCATTGTTTTTGAGGCAATTGTGTTCACAATTCAATTCCTTATATCCCTTTCCATACACTGAATATTATCTCAAGACATGCACTAAACGTATCGCCAATTGTTACGCCAAAGTGTATATTAATACTTAAAAAACACGTAAAAAACTAAACCCCAAAAAATAACTATAATCTCATGTCATATATAAATTGATTATAATTATCTAGGTCCGTTCATAATCCAATTCCTGATCTTAAGCATCGGTTTCGGACTACCATTCCTGTTGCTCATGATGTCGTTGGGCCAGTATTTAGGGTCCGGTTTCTACGACATGTGGTTCATTAGTCCCGCGTTTAAAGGTATCGTAAAACTCATTGAATTTTTAACATAACTTGTGATATATTTTTGACACAATTTTTATCATCACAAATGACTATGAACTAGGAATCGGAGCGGCATTCCTGTTGACATACATAAGCTATGGTCTATACAGCTCCGTACCCATCGCCTGGCTGTTTGTCTACTTTAGGGACGCGTTTGTGGCCACCAGTGACTCGGCCTACAAGTGGTCCTATTGTAACACCAGGGTCGCCACAAATAGTTTAGTCATGACTTTGTTTTTATTATCACTAAAAAGTTTTTACAGTCTCTCTCTCTCTCTCTCTCTCTCTCTCTCTCTCTCTCACCTCTAATGTCGTGAGAATTGCATTGAATTTCCCTATCATTTCATACCATAAATCGATTCATAATTAATAGGCTTTTGGTTATGAAAAGTGAAAGTACTGTAAAAAAGTTTGTGTTAAAATCGACACTTTATTATGCGATTGTGTGATACATTGTTTTTTCTCGTTACCATGATAATCCGTGGTATAAACAATATTTAACACCTGTCCCCTCATGTGGTACACGATATAAAGCTGTTAAGATAGATAATAAGGTGTATGAATGGGACTGGCATACTGGGAAAGTGTGTTTAAAAATCAATTTATCAATATAATAATCGTAATTAATTAATACATTAGCAAAAAAGCCTTTTTTGTTGTATGATTTCCCATAACCAGTGCCCACATTATGTTTTCAATACAATAGCCCTTTGATTACTATTATATTAATTTTATTATTTATTATTCAAATTATGAATTCGTTTTGCAATACAATTATATTTACAAATAAATTATAATTTACGTGAATAGCGAAAAAATATATATTGAATACATTTTCATTGAAGTATAAAAAATGACATTTAATTTGATTTGTATTTTCAAGTCATGATAAGAAACAAAAAAGTGAAAACCTTTTTCATTAACATGTGTTTTGAATGTATAAAATAATTTATTATTAATATTTTTTGAATACACAATGAGTTTACATGTTTTGTGTATGTGTTTAATATACACTGATTGACTAATACATGCATTAAATTGTCATTTATTTTGCTGTTAATTGTTTTTGTTGAGAAATATTTCTTAACCCTTAAGTACAAAGCCTTTTGTTTATAAACATTTCAAATGTTAAGTATATTTACACATAAATAGATGGGAAATACACTATATTTCTACAGCACTTCCCTAATATAGCATTTCCAAGGCATATGATAATTGAGCAAGTTTGTCTACTATTACCTAGGGCGTACGTACGAGTATGCCTTTTTTAATATAGCCATAATTAGCTATCATAGTCTGTGTGAGAAAATTTCACTTTTAATTATTGTTTAGCGAAAGTATTTTTATGTATTATATTAATAACAATGTTGTTTAAAATTCATTAAACTTGGAAAAGTATAAAATAAAAGTTTTTAAATGTATTTAGTAATTGCGAGTTCACTCGACCCCACATACAATTTGTAATTTAAAATTTAAAATGTGTTTAAAATTTATGCATTTTATGTAAATAATTAATTTTTTCACTCAAAAAACAAGAGATGATTTCAATGACTTTGTAAATAATTTAATGATATTTTTTTGTGACTATTATTTTCACTCAAACTCGGAGTAAAAGTTTTTTTAATGTCTAGTAAATTGTCGTAAAATTATAGCTTTATTTTAGTTTTTTAGATATTTTAGTATATGATATTTATTACTTAATTAAGCTAGTATATTTATACATCTGGATGTCAACTCACTTTCACTTATTGTTTTTTATTTCCTATTTCACTCACGAAATGTAAAGTTTTTATATGAAGTTTCATGACCTCTAATGTCTCGTAATATTAAACAGTATTTACATTAGGTATTGGAAAATATTGCCAAAAAATTATAGCCAAGTATACTTTTATTGATTAACGATTAGCAATCAAATATAGTATATATCTAATAGTTATATATCCGGAAATATTTTCTGTAAAAAATAAATTGAATATCATTTATAATGTGAGCTATGTTCATTTTGGATGCATTGTATTTATTTAGCTTTTTTATATTATAAGGGAATTAATATTTCATACAATAGTGAACAGGATATGAGAGAGAAAATGATGAGTATTTTGTAGGTATAAGGATCTGGTATATGGGGGGACAGGTGTGAGACGTGTATATAAAAAAGTTTACAGTAAATCACGAACAAGCACCGGGCGCCCATACATCTCATATGATTTATAATTATAGACACAATACATGATTATAATAGAGAAAGTATTTTGTATTATATTTTATACACTCTTATAGACTACTAAACAATGCATTTGAATAGAAATGTATTTTTTCTATTAGTTTTTAATACAAAACTTTTTTATTAAAATTTTTTTGATTAAATAATATTCTGTCAAATCAATTGAAAAAACTTTTCCTTTTATTGACTTTCATATGAATATATGACTTAATGTTTGATATGTTTTTTATTACCAATCAATCGATTGTACATTAAAAACATTTCTCATATTTAAGGCTAATATCTAATAAACTATTGTTTGGTATTTAATATTGTTTCCTATGGGAAATGTTATTGACTTTTATATCATATAAAATGTAGGAAAAAAGTTTTTGAAAACTTTTTTTATTACACAATGAGTGATGAGTAGGCCTTGACTTCTCTCTCTCTCTCTCTCTCTCACGTAAAGTAAGACTGATTAGACATTTAGTATCCGGGTATCCGGTTTGAAGCAATTTATAAATTGTGTTCACTATATATATACAACTTTCAAAGGATTTGTTTGTTGTGAACAATCAGAGCATTTATATACGAAATACTATTTTCTATTGCCATTAGATATCCAACAGATTCCTCCGTCTATTAATACATTTTAAATACAATATAAATGTTATATAAAAATATTTTTTCATACGAGAAATGATTCATTAGTCTTATTGGCTATACATATAAACAATGATTTTTATTGTTACGTAAAAATATACTACTTTATAGGCTATTATAAAATTGTTGCATGATATTTTTCTTATCAAAACTTTGGTATGAGTTTACAAAATAAAAATACTTTCAAATAATCTCGTGTTTTCCTAACCGGATATCACATAATGTTTTGAATGAGAATTTGATTTTTTCGTAGGAAAACATTATTAGTTTGAAAAACTCGTGAAACAATTATGCGATGAATATGTGGTGAATATGTTTAGACAAAAGGTCACAAACTTTGTGAACAATAATTCAAATTCTTGGGCAATAAGGGTGTGTGAGAGTGTGTATGTGCTTGGTATAATTTGCTATTACATAATGCATAATACATTATCATATGGCTATTGACCGTTACTTTCATTAGAAACTCTCAATTTCTATAGTCATTAGACTTATTAAACGATAAAACAAATGAATTAACAAAAATGTATACATTTTTTAAATACACCTCTCATTACAATATAATTATAATTTTATAGACAATTACAGGTGTGTTGAGAAAGTTAGTGAAAACTACTTTTTAATTTGTATAGCCGTATGAATCGCATGATATTGACGTAGACATTAATTATGATGAATATATTTGTGAGAAAATATTTGTCTAAATATTAAATTTGTTGTTAATTTCATAGACTGTTTGCTGGCATTGAATTCATCGTCGTATGACTACATCGGTTGGTCCGTGTCTTCGTATTTTCAGTGAGTTTTTGGATTAGTTTTTGAATAAGTTTTTTGTTTTTTAATTTTATTTTTGTAATTATTTTCCATTTATTTAAACTAGAAATACATTTAATGTAAATAGCGTTTAGGCAAATATATTGCAACATATTTTTTATGTGTGTCCCTATCCTTGAATATGATAAGGAAATACACGTTTAAAAAACTACTTAAACTTCTAATAATATTAAGTTTTTGGATAAATAATTATTATAATATTTTATACTATTATAAGTACACTTAATATTATAAGTTGTTATCGATCTAGTTTAAAACTCTAGAGTATATAATAAAAAATTTACTAATTTTAAAGTGTGTTTACTTTTTGGGAATATATATTAAAATACTAACAAAAAAAGCATTAAATTAAGTGCAAAATGAGTGGAAAGGGATTTTACTTCCCATACATATAAAAGATAATTAATTTTCAAAATATAAATAAAATATTTTTCATTAATCATTAGTTTTGTTGTTGTTTTGAATACAAGTTATTATTTTTTACAACAAAAATCTTTCGCTATTTATAACTAATTAGAAAACTTTTGTATTCCCATTAAAATGCTATTAATTTGTATTTCCTGTGGAAAACACTCCTTAAAACAAATTATAAACAAAATTATAGACACTTTTTAAAATATAAACAATTAATAGATAGTATAATAGGTGTTAAACACTAAATATACCTGATAATTTACTGTTACTTAATTAATACCATGATAATTAAACTTATAAACACTAAAAGTATAAACACTTTTCAAAACTTTATAAACCCTTTATATAAATAGAAGTAAAAATGTTTTAATCAATAAATATACTTGCTAATATACTCTTAATTTATTAATACCCAGATAATTTGAACTGCAAAAATAATAAAACACTTTTAAAACCGCATAAACCTATCATAAAAAGTAGTACAAAGCTTTAAATCACTAAACATACCGATAATTAATTACATAATAGACAGATACCTTGCTAATAAAATGCTAATTCATTGATACCCGGCTCACTTTAGCGGTCGAGTGCTGGACCGGAACCAAAGGCACCAAAACAAAGAAGTGAAGATTGAGTTATCGTTTCATTTATGCATCGTTTGGACCATTATTTGCATTACACTTATCAAAGGCTTTCACTCGACGGGCAAAGTGTTGTTCGTGTCGGCGGTCATACCTATCGTACTCTACAGTCTCGTTGTCCTCC